CAGGAAGGCTGACTGCATGGATTCTAATACTTACGCTTGTGTTCTCGATTCCTTAACAACTCAAGGGCTCAGTTTCTGCCTCTGAAAATGCAGATAAAGAGTCTCTACTCCACTGATGGTTGCAAATGAGTTACATTGTAAAGCACTTAGAACAGTGCCTGGTTCACAGTAAACAATCAATAAATTAAAATTACAGTAATCATTATTGTTGCTATTAATTAGACTGTTTCATTATAGCAGTCATTGAACATTATTTTGGTCATGTATTCCTGGTTTCTTATTTCAATAATTCATTGTGAAGTTTTAAAATTTTTCAATTCTATGATCATTAGAGATTAGAAATGTTAATAAACATCTAACTTTATAGATTTAAATACATTATTTTTCTACAATGGTACCCTTTCTCAAAAGAGGATTTTCATGATAATTTTATTTTTGCTTTTCCAGATGTAATTACTCCAAATGGCTTGAACGTTAAGAAATTTTCAGCAGTACATGAATTTCAAAATCTACATGCAATGTACAAAGCCAGGATTCAAGATTTTGTTCGAGGTCATTTCTATGGGTATGCTTTTCTTTATTTAAAATAAAATTGGCATGTGACTTTAGGGATCTCTTGGTATAGAGAAAACAGGATTGTTATAGTAAATGTTTATCTTTCTCAGTCCCTTTTATACTTTAACAGAATTCACGTGTCCATTCTGTTGCTGTTGCTGTATTTCATTTGAAACTGTTTTGTTTTGTTTTGTTTTAGTCATCTGGACTTTGATCTTGAAAAGACTTTGTTCTTTTTCATTGCTGGGAGGTATGAGTTTTCAAATAAAGGAGCTGACATCTTCCTAGAATCCTTATCCAGGCTAAATTTCTTGCTGAGGGTAAGAGAACTCTAAGATGCAATGCCATGCTTTTATAGGAGGACTTTTTTTCTGTGGGAAGTATAGAACTTTCTGGCTTCTTAAATAGCATCCAAGAGCATATATGTTTTTGAAGATTGAAAATGACAATCTTATTCTAAAAATTATTATGATCTTGCAATTTACATATTAGTCTTGCATTGTTCACTTGTATATTCACTTGTCTATGTCATCAGGTATTTTTTTTGACAGCCACAAGCTTATCACATTATATGCTGTTTTAAAATGACATATGAGTTTGTAACCACTTGAAAGAGAAATCAAACAAATGGAGAATAAAATATTACCATTTTAAAAACCAGTAAAGATATTAATTGAGGATATGGCTTGGATATATGACAATAATAGGCTTCCCGAAACTGAATCTTGTCATTAGACTTATATATAATCACAGACAGCTCTGGACATCACCATCCTCCCACAACCAAAGCAAATCTTCAGAAGAACATGGTTCCAGGCTGACAGCCAAGCAGTTGCTCTCTATAGAACGAGGCAGACACACACAAACTGTTTATCCCCCAACTCGCCAGCCATACCTCCTCCCCTAGACTGAGAGTCTTGAACTGTGGAACTAGGAGATAACCTACCACAAGGAAACATGAAGGAAGGTAAAGGAGGTTCCCACTCTCAATAACGTGGGGTCATTTTTTTGCTCAGGAAGGTTGGACTTAAAATAGGTCCCTAACTAATCAAGCAAAAACAAGAGACAAACAACAACAACAACAACAACAACAACAACAAACCCAAACCTGTGCCAATAGAAGCAACTATAGACAATAGTAGCATGTCAAGCTATTGATTAAAGTTATTGGCTTATATTATAATCTAATCACATAAAAATATAGACTAAATAACAGTAACTCACAGGAAACCAGTGTAAAATTTAGTCTCATTGCAATATTGAGACAATCTAAACTTTCCTGAGCTCTGTACTGCTCTCCAATAAATTTTTATTTCTTGGACATAGATTTATTTTTTTCTTAGAGCAGACATTGTAGCAAGTATATTAGAAAATTTACATATATCACATTAATAAGAAATACATTAATAAAAACCCAAGTCTACAAAATAGGATTGAAGACCTGAAAGATTATTCCAGAATAAGCTGAAATAATCTTATTATAACATAAATCTGTTATTTAAATCTTATTTTAAGTAACATAGCTTCTTTAACAGCAGATAAGTGTATATTTTCTAGAATTTTATTTAATTGAAGTCATGAGGTGTTTACTCTTTTTCCTCCTGGGTACCCGCATGGAGCATATTCATTTTGAGATTCATCTTCGGTGCTTATATGAGTTGTTCATTCTTTTTATATTGCTGAGAAGAAGTGGGATATCTTGTATATATACCACTGTTTGTTTATCCATTCATCTGTTTGTGGGTATTTGTGTTGTTTGCAGTTTTGAGTTGTTGCAAATAAAACTGTTACTTACATTTTGATGCAAAAAAAAAAAAAAAAAAGACAAAGATTTTCCCTTTGAGATGTGCAGGCTCTCTTTGAAGGCTTTGCCTCCTGGCAAGTCAGCTGGGCTCTGGTAGGAATGGCACTTAAAAATACTATGTTATTTAAACCTTGTTTCATCACATTTCATAGTATGTATCTATTCAACAAGCTTTATAGATGGACTCAAAACTATATCAAACATGTATCATGTTTATGGACATTCTTCAGTTTATCCATACATTTATTAAGTATTCACTTCGTTTTTCGATGTGAAGAAAAAGTTAATTATAGTTCTTGGAGAAATGAAAAGAAAGCATTCTCTTTCCATGTGATATATTTGTTCTTTAATAGCACATTGGCTCCTCCGAGAGTGAGTTTCTTATTCTATGACTTCTGTAGACTTTTGAATAGATTGTCAGGCCCTAGAGTGCAGAGAACACAGATTAGATGGTAAAGTGTTCCACACTCAGGAGATACATGAGTATTCATCTGCTCACAGTTTTAAGTGAGTTTATGCTTTCTTTTCCATAGCTATTTGATATATCATTTCCTTCTGAGAGAAGCTTGGCCAATGGTACTTGTAGGAAGAGGAAAAAGAAAACCATAGATTTTTAGAGTAAAAAAACCCCACCAGTTTGAATCCCAGCTTTGCCAATAATCTGTTATACAAAGTCAGACTCCTTCCTGTTTTGAACCTCTCTTTCTACATTAGTAAAACAAGGAGAGTGATATCTATAGTGTACAGTTATTACAAAGATAGGGTTAAATTATGCATTCAAAGTACCCAGTACACTGTCTGTCACACCAAAAGTGCTACACACATGCTACTTTCTTTACTTTAGGTCTAAAAAATTAAAATGTAATATCATAACATTTTACAGAAGAAAGTAAATAATCCATTGTGCCAATCAATGTGTATAAGCTAGGAAAAAAATTAGAATAAACCAAAACTAAATCCTCATTAACTTTCCAATCCAAAAATTTAAAGAATGAATTTTGGCCTTGTGAAGTTAGCTCACATTTATGTTACCTTTTTTAACCACTGAAAAGCACAGTGATATCAATATCAAGGCTATATATTTTAGGTGATTGATGTTATGAAAATATTTTATGTCTGAATTTTTAAATTATTACTTGATAAACCTCTATTGAAAGCCCAATTTATATTAAAACTTCTAAAAGAGCCTCAGTATAGTGGGTGTAATTTCTCTGTGAGTCATAAAAAGTACTGTTTTTATCTAAAGGCATTTTAAAACACTATCTTTTCAAAGTTTAAGGTCCATTTGTCACACATTTTATTTTATCTTTGGTCATTGACTCTGTTGTGTGTTCTGATCTCTCGTTAGGTGCATAAAAGTGACGTCACAGTGGTGGTGTTTTTCATTATGCCTGCCCAGACAAATAATTTCAATGTGGAAACCCTGAAAGGCCAGGCAGTACGAAAACAGCTATGGTAATCTCATGTCTTGAGAATGTTCTTGAACAATAAGTGTAAAGGGATTTTTTATGTGTGTGATTTGTGTTATATCTCCTTGAACTATTTTTTTTTCCCCTTAAGATTATTATGGCACAAATACTACCTGGTTCTCTCCTCACTGGGCTACTACGTTGGATTATATAATGCCTATAAAACTGCCACTATAAAAATTTTGGAACAAGCTACCGTGGAATGATAAAGCCTCTGTAAAAATCGTTGAAGATGGGTTGAATTAAAAAAAAAATTATTGTGGAAATATAAAAACATATGGCAAAGTAAAGAAATTATTTACTAATAATATGGCCTCCTACATGCCCATAGCCCAGATTCAATAATTATCAACACACTCCCAATCTTGTTACGTCTCTACCTCTACCTTCCAGCCCTCTGCCCTCTTCTGAATATCATCAAGCAAAAAAAATGTTAAGCTCTGTAGGCTGGTCAGAGTGTTCTGCTGCCTCAGCTCTGGAGATTTTAACTCGAAATGAGTTGGCAAATAGGAAAATAATTGAAGAGGCAATACAAAAGTATACACTGACAAAACAACAGCTTTGTTATGAAAAATAAAGATTTTAAAATGTGACTCTTTTTAAATTATAAATCTTTCTGTTTACACAGGGACACTGCACATTCAGTGAAGGAAAAGTTTGGAAAGAAACTCTATGATGCATTATTAAGGTAGGTGCTTTGAATACTTAACACATCAAACATTTGGGATGTCACTATTCAAACAGCAATTTAGATACTATAATGTATTTATTTTGTTTCAAACATAAAGGAATTACTAACCTTTGAAGATGTGCTGTATCATTTGAGCAGGTGTTCTTTCATCCTTCATCTGAGAAATACTTATAAACAGGTTATACAGTAAGAAAGTATTTATGTATTAAGATAGATTCTAATTTAATGGGAATCTCATTGGGGTTACTATGCCAAATAGAAGCTGAGGGAGAGGTCATGAGAGTTTAAGTCTAAATATATATTGACTTAATATATATTAAATACATACTTATGTATATATTAAATTAACATATTTATTAATTAACATTAATTAATGTCAACATGTATTTACTTAATAAATAATAAACTATGTATTTTAATAAATAATAAAATAAATAAAATATATACATGTATAAATAATAAAATCTAAATAATGAAATCAAATTAAATGTATTATAAAATAATAATATATAAAATATATGGATTTTGCTATGATCCGAAGAGAAAGCTGTGTTGTTTCCTGACCCGGTGACAGGTGAGCATCATTTCTTTTTATCAGTAAAAATATCAACTTATAAATGGACAAGGTACATCACTTTGGAACACAGTACTAAGGAGCAGGCAAAATATAATGATAGTATCCCCCTGATGGTCAACATCAATGTTTTAAAAAAATTTTTTCAATTTTCTTTTACACTATCAAATGTGTTCTTTTATCATGCTTATTTACACTTTAGAAATTTGTCTGTGAACTTCATTAGGAAATTGTTTGCTTTACATTTATTTTTAAACTGATTAGAACAGTGATATATAGAAAGAATGAAATTAGTGCCAGTTATTTTTATTTTTATTATTAATGTTTCCCCACAGAGGAGAAATTCCTGACATGAACAATATTTTGGATCGAGATGATCTAACAATTATGAAAAGAGCCATCTTTTCAACTCAGGTAATAAAACAGTGCCTACCACTTCTCATAATTGTTAAACTCAGTTTAGGTCAACATTTTAAATTATTGAAATGGGCTAATTTGGGAAACTTTTAAACCCAAAAGCTAGAAAGTCTTTCTTATATAGTCACCTAAATGACAACTTTGTATGTTCTCTTTTATGAGTGCTTTTTAGAGCTCCTTTTAAAAATCACATGGAACTTGTTTTCATATCCAATTAAAAAATTCATTCAATATTTACCTGGCTGGGGAAATATGGTCACAAAGGTGGTTTTCTCAAGGTGAGGCTCACCCTGATCTCTGCGATATCCCTAAATGTGGGAAATTCCCACATAATTTGTGGTAAAAGAGGACTGCATTTGCACCCTCCCTGGACACACACACACACACACACACACACACACACACTCATTTGGAACCAATATATCCAATTGAAAAACTTTGTATATTGCAATGACAACAAAAACGTAAAATTTTCAAAAAACATAGAATTTTGAGTGCCATAGAGAAAAGGTGACTTGTTTCTCAGTCAAGTAGAATTATTGCTAAGAAGGAAAGATAAGTGTTCTTTAGGCATACTCCAAAATCTTGTCATAATAGTGGAGACATTAGGCACCAGAGGATAGCCCCTGGATGTCTCAAAGGATCCAGAAGATTAGCTCATCTTGAGTCAAGATTTCAGGACACTCTATTCCAAATAAGTCCCAGAAGCAGGCAAGAAGTCTTGGCCTTTCATATAATGGTTGCAGGTAAAAAAACAAAAGTATCATGTGTTCACAATATCTGAAGAAAGTCCTTCAACCCCATTATCCTCCTCTGAAACACATAAAACTTATTCATCATCATTAGTGTCATCTCAAAAGACTTAAGGCAAAAAGGTTGGATGACGTGTCGCCAGTGACCTATTGTTGAAATTAGTCAAGCATTAATTCTTTCCACAATTGACATTTTCTTCTATTACTTCAGCGACAGTCTTTACCTCCAGTGACAACTCACAACATGATTGATGACTCCACTGATCCCATCCTCAGCACCATAAGACGGATCGGACTTTTCAACGGCCGCACAGATAGAGTCAAGGTAGAACTAATCATTTATGTGGGTCACTTCAAAATAAAATAGAATATATTTATTGAGAATGTATTAGAAGCCTCCTTTAATTGTTTTAACATCTACCGAAAACATTTTTTATATTTCTAAAGAAAATGAATTGCCTTGGGTAAGACTGTGGCTGGAAGGTCTCTTGAAATTGAAAGCTTTGAACAAAATTTGCTTTGCTGATCTAATGAACAAGAACTTTATTAAACATTTTCATACGCCTGTGTCTTTGTTAATGTTATCTTCTCTTTCTGAAATACACTTATCTCAGCCATTCTAACTATTCTTTTGGGATCCAACCTAAGAGTAATCTCTTCTTTGCATTTTTTCTTAATATACATTTATCTACTGCAGACAGAACAATTGTTTCCTTATCTGCATTCCCAAGATACTTTATATCTATTACAATTATAGGAATTATCACATTGAATTATATATATATATTTAATTTATGTGCCCATTTCTCCAGAAAGACTATGAGTCCTTTGAAGCAGCAATCATGTGTCGTATATATTTTATTTTCTCCATTTTCATCCTCCGAGAAGCAGATACCAAGACAGGATTTGACAGAAAAACACTTATTGGTGGTAGAGCCTGTGAGGGATAAAGAGATTGAAAGCACGAGCAGGCAGGGAGGTGCAGTCAGACTCTGTGAAGAGAGCAGGAAGGAAAGATGTGGTAAGGCGAGTCACAGACTGCAGCCCTGTTCTAAAATAGTCTCAGCCCCTCCCCCTTTTTTTCCCCACAGAAAGGCAAATGTAATTAACAGAAAGCTAGAATTCATAAAAATGAACAAATACATGAAAAATATACACACATAGCACTATATAGTGACTCAAAAGGGAATTGACCAAGACCACTCAACATAGCTTGTTAGTTAGCTAAAAAAAAAAACCTACTAGTGTGCTCATGCATCCCCAAAAACAATAACAAAAAAAAGCCCAGCAGGTAAATAATTTTCAACAGCTAACACAAATTCAGTATTATTTTACAATGCCTCCTTTCTTAATACAAAAGATGCCCTTGTGCGCGTGTGTCTTTTCTCACTATAATAACATATCGGTGTTACTACATACGTTTTCTTCTATTTAACCTTTTCTTTACGTTTTACCTTCACATGTAAATCCCACCTTCTACCTACCTACCAAAACAGTTTCAAGTTGGCAGGCAGATGGCTGCATTGTTCTATGAGTACTGGGATACAATGGTTTTAATAAGGATTATTGTTAATAGGGACAGGGATTCCCAATGAAAAGTTGCCCATTAAAAGAATCACTCATTTAGAAGATGTGGGTTGGCACTAGTACCCATCTCTGCTCGTCCCATAGGCCAGGAGCAGCTACTGTGGTGGATCTAGAGCATAGGCAGTTGGGCCTGTCAGACAAGATCTCCGGGCCAAAATCTCTTGAAGGAAATCTGAGCAGCAAATTTAAGACTGCCACATCTCTGAAGAAGATAAGATACCAAGTCCTTAAAGACTGTACTCTAACTGGTTGCCTTTAAATCTCTGAATTTTATAAAATTCAGTTTATAAAGTTACTTAATCTGCCTAGAAGTAGACTTCTCAAAATGGTGATGGAATAGGCCCACACTCACAGAATTGTGAGGATTTAAAGAGTCATAGATGCTGCATTTATGTACATAGCATATTATTGGTAGTTAATAACGTTTAGAAGAGAGGTATGATCAGGGTTTGGTGAGAGTAGAAGATGGAAGATATGTCTTTGACTGCAGGATTTGATCAAATGTTTTATTAAAAAGATGACATGTTAGCTAGATCTTGGTCAATGAGCAAGAGTTTTCATACAAATAACAGGAGGGAGGGCTCACCACACAAAAGAAGAAGTAGATAAAAAGGTACAAAAATATAATAGCACATGACTCATGTATAGTGAATGGAAAAGGAAGTTTATCTCATACAAAGTATATTTATGCAGTTAAATTATATTTTGAGATATTCATTTATTATCATAAAGTAAACACACTCACACACAAAAGAAATAAAAGAATAACTTCTCCTAATGATATACATTCAAAGCACTGAGATGAATTTGGTTAATTTGAAATTAGATATTTTGTTTTATTAACAATATCCTCTAAAAGCTTGACACTAACTCAAGGCCTGTGCTAAGATAACTATTTGATTGCCTGTCTATATTTGATTCCCTGTATATTTATAGAAACCCATAGAGTGGTTCTTAATTCTCAGAGTGGATTGACAAGGTTTTTATATAAATGTGACCATTTGATTCAGGAAATGCTGCAGATTATTTTGATCTTGAATTTTTCTTCTATCCTGCCTGAGCAGTGTATTATAGTGAGAAAAGGCTAGGCTACAGATTTTGGGTTTAGAACCTGTCTTGCCCTTCTGTTAAAATAATTAACTTCCTGGGACCTTACTTCTGTCCAAGGATAAATACAGTCAATCAAGTTGTGTGTGTGTGTGTGTGTGTGTGTGTTTTATTGTTGTTTATTTGTTTTCCTACTGACCCAGGGCCTTCTTTGAGCCAGGTGCTCTAGTAGAGGCTTTTGTATACAAGATCTTATTTAATCCTCCCTATAACCTTGGGCTGACCTCTAATATTCTTTCTCTGCCCTGGGCTTCTGAAGTTGGCTGTTTTAGGGCCCAGACAGCTGTTTTCTTATTTTAGTTGTGCAATCATTCTGTTTGGCTGGGAACAAAACAAATGAGCCATGGTGTTTTCATGTTCCAGAATGGACATTGAAGAGTACAAATTTTCCTAAATGTGGAAATGCCAAAGTAGGCACAATGCCTTTAAAACCCCACTTTCCTGATATTTGCCAAGAGAGTGTAATGCGCTGTCAATATGATGGTTGCCCCGACAGTCGGTGTCTGTATCTTTTGTCTCTTTTCCAAGTGCAGCTCTTTGTATGTAATAGGAACTCAAATTATGCTTTTGTTGAGAACTGCTATAGCAAAATACAAAGGACTAGGTGGCTTATAAACAATGGACATTTATTTCTCATAATTCTGTAAGCTGGGAAGTCCAAGATCAAGTTTCCAGTGTGGTTGAGTTCTGGTAAGGGCCCTCTTCCAAGTTCATAGATGGCGCCTTCTTGCTGTGTCCTCACATGGTGGAAGGCACTAGGGATCTCTCCGTCCTTTATAAGGCACTAATATATATATAATATGTAACTTATATTATACTTTAATATACTTACATTACATAGAGTATTATATAAACATATAATACTAATTATAATTATATATCATATTAAATATATATTGTATAGATAGCTCTATAATTATATATATAATCCCAATGCTTTTAAAATCAGATTTCATTTATTTTTAGTAAATGATATAGAGGGAAGCTGACAGATAACAATAGTTCAGTGAGACCTCTAATAAATAGGATTCATTCATCCAGGTAACCAGTTAAGCAGCTATTCTGTTCATGACTTTACAATTACAGTCATGCTCGGTTGTCTCTGCCTTTGCAGAACATTACAGGCAGTGCAGTCCCAGAACTGGCTCATACCAGTGCACAAGAGCCAATTGTTAATTTTCAATCGAAACTGTAAGTTGGTAATTAATACGAGATTTTCTCAAATATCAGCAAAAACATTATATGATAATTAATTGACTATATAGAATTTATAATAAGGAGTATTATATATTTTTAATACACTTTATTTTTTAGAGTAGTTCTTGGTTCACAGCAAAACTGAGCAGAAAGTACAGAGTCATAGACCATCTGTCCCATACGTGTACAACCTCCTCCATTATCAACATCCTGCCCCACGGTGATACATTTGTTATAATAGATGAACCTACATTGACACGTCATTATCACCAAAGATTCATGATTTACATTAGGGTTCACTCCTAGTCTTGTATAGTCTATACATTTTGATAAATATATAATAACATGTATCCACTGTTATAGTATGGTACAGAATAGTTCATTACCCTAAAAATCCTCTGTGCTCTATTCATTTCTCTTTTTCCCTGATACATAGTAACTGCTGATCTTTTTATAGTTTCTACAGTTTTGCATTTTCCAGAATGTCATAAAGTTGGAATTATACAGTATATGACCTTTTCAGATTGGCTTCTTTCACTTACTCATATGCATTTAAGTTTCCTCCATGTCTTTTCATGGCTTGATAGCTCATTTCTTTTTAGCCCTGAATAATATTCCATTGTCTGGATATACCACAGTTTATTTATCCATTCACCTACTAAAAGACATTTTGGTTGCTTCCAAGTTTTAATAATTATGAATAAAGCTGATATAAATATGTGTGTTTATATAAAAGCAGATTTTTGTGTGTACATTTTTTATTTGGAAATTGTATGCTATAATGGTATCCTTTATATCAGTAAGATTTATATTAAACTTATGTATAAATATATATTTATACTTTAGTTTTTCAGTTCTTGAACATTTACCAGCATATCACTGCTTACAGCCATGGTAAACACTTTTGCATTAATTCTGTGCGCAATGGGAAGCTATTAAAATATTTCGAGCAGGTGAATGGCTGGTATTTTTAAAGGTTCACTCTGGTTGTGTTGAGTAAGACTTTAGCAAATTAGAAGCAGTTAGAGAACCAAATAAAACTTTATTGCCAATAAAATCTTGGTTGGAAGATGTGGTTTAGCATGAGAACAAAAATGGCCCATGAACTCCCTAGCCTCCAACTTGGCCTTGGAAACTGAGGAAAAGTTAGTTCACAGAGTAGATACTTATGCAGAATGGAGAGAGGAGAAAAGAAGCACTCAGGCTTTTTTCTTTCTTATCTCTCTCTCTCTTTTCCTCTGAATCTAGAATACAAGGATTCTATAGTATTGAAATAACCAAATTGTAGGAAATTTTTTTGCTTAATTTCTTCTTTCTTTTCGTTCTCATTAGAATTTTCCTTTTTTAGGTTATTTTGCACCCAGAGTTCCTATCCTCCACCAGCCCCTTGTTACCTATGGATTATGAAGAGTTCGTCCGAGGTTGTCATCTTGGAGTATTTCCATCATACTATGAACCATGGGGTTATACCCCAGGTATGTGACATGTATGGATTGTGGAATGTTTAGAATTTTATTGCTATTTTATTTTATGCATGTGTGCATGATATTCAAAGTTGACATGTAATTTACTGTGGAATAGAGAAACACAAAATCAAAGCACAAGTGACTGAGGGTTGAAGACAATGTTGTATAACTTAACGGCAGACTTTTCGCCAAAACATCATTTTACAGGACAAAGTTAAACTTAACCCAAAATGATAGAGGAGATATAGCTAGTGTTTTAACATAAAGGTCAGCAAAGCTGTTATAAAAGATAAGTAGACAGAAAAAGAAATTTAATAAATACGCCATAGCGAATGAATCATTCTGTTTTAAATTAACTGGAGGAAGAGGCCACTCCTCACCTAATCTATAATTACAGAAATAATGAAACCTCTGGTGGTTTAAGTTTGGTGTTAGCATATGAGATAACAAATTTTTTTTTAAAGAATAATCATTTCATGTGGTACTAACTCTAAATCACTCCAGTAAGTATTTGTTAAAGTGTGTGTTTTGTGTTTTGAGAAAACCCAATGAATATAAGCATTTATTTCATTAAATTCACTGAGTGGACACATAGTGAGCATACATGGGCACCTGACATTTTACTAAATGCGTGTTAATAAGAGTATTTAACAAAAATAAGGATCTGTTATGTTCTATAGAATTGTAGACAAAATTTTGTAATATACATAAATTTTTCTAGGGAGGAGTTCTAAAGTTTTATTAGATTCTCAAATGGGTCAATAATCCCAATTTACCTTCCTTTCTTCCAATGCCCCCCCTCCCAAAAAATAGGAAATTACTTGCAGAGCAGGACAAAAGGCCACTGTTTAAATTGTATTACTTCATGGGTAATGGGGAAATTGGTTTTTTTTTCCTCCCCCAACTGCACTAGTCAACCAAAAGTTATTTCATAATCAAATAGAAATTCCTTGCTAAAAATGCAGATATCCTCGAGAGTGGTAATGTTTCTTCAGACATATCTGATAGTTTCTGAAAAACAGGTTTTGTCTAAAATGTGAGAGAGGTTTGAAAGAGACCATGGGGTTCACTGAGCACCTGAGAACGTGGAAGAGATTTATGCCAAGGGGGATTTCTATGATGGGAGGAGCTGGTCATTACCAAACCATTGGCCTACTCTGTAAACTTGCCAAATACTTAGAGACGTAAGCTTAGAATGGAGCGCAAAACCAGCGGGAATGACAGTATAGAGTAGCAGTTTCCAGCAAGAGCTCTGGAGCTGGGAGCCCAGCTTCAAACCCAGCCCCCTCCCCGCCCCGCCCCCAACCTTTCCCCTGACTTTATGAAGTTGGGCAACCTATTTCGCTTTTCGGCACCTCAGGGAGATAATAATAGCCTCACTTTACAGGATTGTTGAGAAGATTAAAGGAGTAAACACGTGAAGAGCTTAGTACTGTGCCTGGCACAAAGTAAACATTGCTGTTACTAGATAGGGAGGGGCTTTTTTCTCTGCATGCGTAACAGGAAATAGAAGCAAGCCTTTGTCTGTCCTCTGGCAGCTGAATGCACTGTGATGGGCATCCCCAGTGTGACAACAAACCTCTCTGGCTTTGGCTGTTTCATGCAGGAGCACGTGGCTGATCCTACTGCCTATGGTGAGGTTTTTCATCATTATTCCAACCCAGGGAGAAGTGACCTTTAACCAAACAAAGCATAGGGTCTTTAGACCTAACTCTAAAGCTCTCTTGATTAAACTAATGTTTATACTTATCTAACAAAAAATAGATTTGATCACATGGTCTACAGGAAAGATAAGAATGCTATTAATATTAAATATATTGCCCAAAAGACAAACTGCAAAAGAAGTGCTAAACTTGGATAAACCTTCTCTTTACCTTTTTTCCCCTGAACTGGTTTGGCCTTCTAATACTTAAAAGTGATATTACAATAACCAAGGCCTTAGAGTACGTATATTGGTCAACATAATTATTTAAAAAGTTTGTGCCAAGTTAGCAAATTCACTTACATTATTTAAGATGGCAGGAGAATCTGCATATCTCTATGTCTGTGTTGCCTAGCAGCAAGAAAAGTTTGAATGGGCTGGATTCTCTGCCTACACATTTTAATTCCCTGGTCTTTTGCAATTGTTCTGTCACTGTTCTCTTTCCTCAGGTTAGAGCTGTGGTTCTCAGCCTTGGCTGCATGCTGGGAACACTGGGGAGCTTAAAAAAGACTGACACCCAGGTCTTACCCCAGAGATTCTGGTTAGTGAGTGGCCCCCGGATGAGGGGATTACTGATCCAGGGTATCCATACACTGTCAGATTTTTTTTAAAGTAAGATCTATTTTGTTAGCTGTGTGTTGTTGACCTTTGTAAACCATAGAAGAAATACAACTTTGGAACAGAAAAGACAAATCAAAGGCAATAAGGGAGTTAGGAAGTAGATACTGCATGCAGTCTAGCTTAGAACCTGAGGACTAGGAGAAAAAATGCCCTAAGGTTAGCCTTACTTTTTACTTGTGCTTTGGCTTTTGTGTCCCTCAGGTATTTACATCGTTGACAGGCGGTTCCGTTCTCCTGATGATTCTTGCAATCAGTTGACTCAGTTTCTCTATGGATTTTGCAAACAGTCACGCCGCCAAAGAATTATCCAGAGAAACCGCACTGAGAGGCTCTCAGATCTTCTGGACTGGAGATACTTAGGCAGAGTAAGCAAGTTTGTGGTCAACACAGAGGACCACTTTAGAAATCCCACTGGACTACAAAAGTATTGATTCTAGTCATAATCTGTAAAGTCAACTCAGTATCATAATTGTTAAAATCTCAGTGATGTTGTTACATACTTTTTTTACTTAATATGAATTTGCAAAGTCCTAAGTCCAATTCTTTACATTTAGTCTGAGCCCATAACAGCAAGTTCATCAGGATCTAGCACTAAAATTACTAGTTATTCTATTTTCATTTCTTAACTTGATGCGTTACGGGTATACAGAAATGTTTCATGAGGATGAGGAAAACATCAAGAGAAAAGTCTCTACTTAGTTTCATTCTAAGAAATAGTGTGATCTTATTCTTCCATTACAGAGAGTAGTAGGAATAATATTACTTTTCAAAATGACTAGTGCAGAAGAAAATATCTTCTTTCATGCAGTAGGTTTATAAATACCCAGATGTTCATATATCTTAGCACTGGATAATTTAATAAAAAAGAAGCTGACTTTGCCTTCACATAATGAATCTGCTTAGATACTGCTAAACTCCCCCAGACAAATGATAGATGTTGTCATTTGCTGTCTTTCTATACACACTAGTCTTAGTACTTAGCAGTTTTTATTTAAAAAACTACTGTTTTCAGTCACCTTAGCACTCAATTCAGAGTTCAGTAAGGCCAGTATGGCTTTTCCCTCCAATTTTTGTATTTCTTTACCTAGTCATTGAAAAATAATAAAACTATAAACTGTCTTTTTCCACCAGATTCTCAAACTTAGGATGAATAAAATCTGCCACTTTCTAAAAAAATATATTTCATAACTAGGAGAATAATATTTTATAGAACTTGGTTATCAAAGCATATGAATCTTTTTTTAACCCATGCATTGGCCTTCTATCATAGTATTACCAGCACGCCAGGCACTTGACATTAAGCAGAGCCTTTCCAGATAAATTCTATATGGAACCTACATCACCGCCATCGGTAAATATTTTATATATTGTTTTTTGTTGTTGTTTCGAAAGCTAAATTTATTTGTGATAAATCCGAACAATACTTTTTAATTAGAAAGTAGCTAAGTACACAAACTATTATACGTTTTCATAGTGTCACATCAAAGCAAAGAATAGAGGAACTGACAAATCAGGCCAACTCAAAGCCCTCGATTCAGAGTTAGGCTCATGTATAAGATGAGCAGACAGTCAGCTAATTCATGTCATGGAGAAGCACCTCCATATCAGAACTCTCTCTGCCTTAGTGCTTGAAACTACTCCATTAGATATCCATTTTTTTGAGAATTGCTCAAAAATAAAGTGGCCTGCTCTAACAGGAAGTTATTTGGTATCTAAGAAAGTGTTTAAACATAGGATGACGACTTGCCAAGACTAATATAGAGTGAATCCAAACACCACAGAAGGAATTGGACAAAATGAGCATTTATGTTCCATTCAGCAGTGCCCACCAAGGAGCCTTCTGAAGTCCAGCTAGACATTATATTCTTGAGACTAGCATAGGCCATTTGTCATCAGAATCAATTAAAGGGATTCAGACAGGAAAAGCAGCTTGAAGCAGAGCAGCATTGGGCATCTCTCTTTAATGGCATTGTCCTTACAGCAGTCTAGTAGTGCTAAACCTCTTTGCCCTCTTATCAGGTGACAGCGTAGGTACAAGAAGGTAAGACCCATACCATTGGGTATGAGATAGCTTCTATGACTCAGAGGAGCCAATAGTTCATGTAAATCTCCACAGACATCTTCCATAGTTGCCCAGAAATATGCTCAGTTACAACAGTCGTCAAATTCAGGGATTCCCCCAAACTATAGATCCTCATTTAGTATTTATACATTCTCTAAGTTCAGATATAATTTCCCAGGCAGGGGTCACTTTTAGCATACATAATTTTGCCTAATAATACAACTTATATTCCACCTATCAGCTGTCCAGGAGAACAGGCCTAGAAAGTTAACCCAGTGTAAAATTTGCCCATTGAGAAGATGAAAGGGTTTTGTAAATCTCTCAATCTATAAATTCCACTCCCATGTTCATAATTCTGAGTTAATTGCTTAGTTTATTTAGAGACAGACACTCCACTTGAAGATAGCTCAGCTGTATTCATCTAATAAGCTAATTATTCAACTGTTAAGTATTGAGCATGTGCTCTGAGCCAGGACTCAGCTCTTTTTCTGTGTTGCTTTCAGGTAGAGTACCTTAACCTCGAAATGACTGTACAAGTATGACATAATAATTATGTATAAATATGATTGAAATACAGAGTGGCAAATACTGTAACAATTTTATACATTTGTCTCCCCATTTCAAGCATGTGCCCTCCTAGAGGGCAAGGATCGTGTTTTTCATCTGTTTCCTCAGTGCCATTATCATGCCTGACCTATAGTTGGTGCTTAGTATGTGTTTAACAAATATGTTATCTCAATGAATTTTAGGTAAAAGGGCAATTTGATTAAAACCTAGTGGTATCTTCTCATTAACTAAAATAAAAGTAGCTGGTGGAATTTCAGGGTCAGCTAAGTGGTCTGGCTTCCAGGATTCTTTCTAATAGTGGCTGTCTATCATATGCCTAGGCAGCCAATGTCCTGCCATTTCACTGAGCAAATCTAAAAGATGACATGGAGACTGATGCTATCAGCAGTGTAACATAGTAGTTGAAATTAAAGGTTCTGGAGTGATCACTACCCCAGTACAAATCTTTGCTCTACCACTTATGTACTGTGTGACCTTGGGCAAATCATTTGGCCTCTCTAACCCTCAATTTTCTTCTGTAAATGGGAAAAGCAAATTTATTGGAGTGTCATTACAAAGATTAAATAAGATAACATATAGATAGTTATCTGGCATATATCAATGCTTAATAAAAATAAAGCTATTTATTTCATGAATCCCTCTTGAGCTTGTTGGTACCAGAGTCAAAATAAATCAAAATCAATAGCCCCTGAACAGACCACAAAAAATATCCAATTATGTTTTTTATTAAATGCACATGTAAAGTGTTCACATCATTGGAAAATCAAGAAGTCATCATAATAATGTTGTGTCTTATATTTGTCTTTGGCAGACAGAAGGATTTAAATATCCCAGGCCCTCCTCAGTACCACCTTCTCCTTCAGGGTCTCAGGTCTCCAGTCCTCAGAGCAGTGATGTGGAAGATGAAGATGAGGATGAGAGATATGATGAAGAAGAGGAGGCAGAAAGGGATCGGTTGAATATCAAGTCACCATTTCCTTTGGGTCATGTTCCTCATGGCAAGAAAAAGCTTCATGGTGAATACAAGAACTGAATTCCACATTGTTGAACAGAACTAATTTAGTGAGAACAGAGTAAGAATGATTATTTAAGGAAATGAAAATGCCATAAATTCCACTTTCTTTTAAGTGTCACAGTGGGATTTCTTCTGTGCCTAAAAAGTGGAGATTAAATTGAGTAGCAATTTTATAATTTATAATAAAATCCAAGTTATTTTCTTCAACTCCTTTTCCCCAGTAAACTTAGGCAGGAGGAAGAGTGTTAATTAAAGGAGGAAGGCAGAAAGTATTTTTAAAATGGTTAATTTAAGCAATAAGAATTTCCGTTAACTCGTCTATTTTCAAATTATCATCACCATAATCCTTTGCTTGGTATTTATACAGCTTCTATACCTACCAAACAAGTCTCCCATTCTCACCCCAAAGGATCTTGTTCTTAGCCATGGATGTGTACTTCATACATATTTTAAATAACTTGGTCTTTATTTTCATTTTCCACACGAGTCAGAAATATTAATTTATATCTAGCTTTGCAGGCGATCAAAATCCATAAGAAAATAGCCAACCTAAATCCAGATCTTGAGATATATTAGTGCATATTTACAAGATTACTTCTCAAATGAATGACAGGAAGATGTTAGCATCAGCACTGTACCATTTGACTATAATATTTTTTTTTTGGTTTAAAAGGAAAGTCTTTTTGAAAAATTGGTCAGTCTTCCACAGATGATAAATTGTTAAATCCAAAATGAATAAATATATCAATATTTAAATATTTAACCTTCACTAATAATGCCGTCTTTAAAATTCTTTTAGTCATTTAAATAAGACAACATCTGTAAAGCACCTGCTATGTAATAATGCCTTATGAAGGACATTTAAAATTATCTTTTAAAAAAGATAACAAAAAGAAAATTTAGAGTCTACTTTATAGAAAGGACAGTGTCTCTAACACATTCATGATGTGATTAAAGACATTATCGAATGATTGTAATTCAGCATTTTCATGTTTTAAGTGTAATTAAATCTAAATTTGCGGGAAAAAAAAAATCCACACTCTTGGATTGCTTTTTTCACAACTGAGTATTATTACATTTAGATCATAGTGAATACCTTGGTTGGCATATCAGTTGACCTAGGTCAGTAGAGGCTCTAGAAAAGTTTTGGTCTTTTCAGTGCTGGATCGTTGATGGCAACAAAGGAAGAGTACAATAACCGTGTGTCAGATGGTTCAAGACCAGTGAAAAACTGTAATCCAGCTCTCCTATTGCCCCATTTTTAGAAAAAAGTAGAATGGTGGATACAAGCAACAAATCAGGGCAAAATGGAAGATGGTTGCAAGCTCACCTGATTCAGGAAGAAGGGAAATAAATTTCGTAAAGCCCAACCCTTGAAAAGTACCCTATGGATACCAATTAACTTAGTGTCTGCAGGGTAGTTTGGACAGCTTTACATTGAAGATTTGTATTATAATACATTCTTTTGCTGATGTGCCGGAAAGATCTCATGATAAAAAGGGGTTTCACTGTTATAATAACCATGAAAATGTATCCCTGGTACTGTGACACGCTGTGTTCAAATGATACTGTTGATTGGTAATTAATGGGGTCATTGTTATTGAAAACATGAGCTATACAATAAAATATCTTCATAATATAAAACTTTAAAATTTAAATGCTCTTTTGAAAACAAATAAAATCATAGTTTTCTGATAGAAATGACTACAAATGACAGTATGCATAGGAATTAACTAATTTGCAAACATCTGGTTTTGAGTGGCATGTGTAGGAGTCAGAGTTTCTACCTTTCACTCAATCCTTTATTCAGATAGCTGCTACACTTGACTCCATCCCCTTGCCTCAGTTATTTATTTGTCCCTTCCCCAAGATTTGAGAAAGCCCGGTGAAAAGTGACAAATAGGATTGTTAGATGACTCTAGCACAGTGCCTTATATACAGTAGTTGTATTTACTGGGAGAAATAAAGGTACAAAAAAATGATACTTTTAAAAACATAAGCATAAGATGGAGGACAGGAACTATAGAAAATAGTTTGTGTGTGCTTGACCAGCTGACAGCAAGACTTTTTTTTATGCATTGTGCCATACTTCCTTCCATGGTAAGAGTTGGGGTTAACAAAGCTAGTTTTACATATACAGATGAGAATATAAAATACAAGTGCTACGTTAATAGTTTTCCAGGGCATAAGAGGGACTGGTCAGGTGTATACTGGGGAGGTTCAAAGAGGCTTCATAAGATGAGCTCAACTTTCTATGAATTAACGTGAAAGATACACGTTATAAGGATCAAATCAAATTAGAAATGAACTCTTCCTGGAAGAACTTATAGTCCAGAAGGAGGAGACCAACAGGTTACATCCCAACTCCCCTTTCTCCTGAAGCTGAAGTAAACTAATAGAACTCAAGGTTGATAAGATATAAAATTTTATTTCTCATGACCAGGTAAAGCAGAAATATGAATTGGAGGCTGACTGTAACATCAGGGCCTCTTCACCTTCTCTTCTCTCACGATCTCAGTGGTGCTGTGGGAAGAGAGGAGGCTCCCAATGGGGAAACCCAGGGAAATAAAGAGTAACTGAGAACCCACACTGGAAGTAATATATATAACTAATGCCACTGATAGCCACAAGGGAAGTAGGATATAGAAGCCAAGAGGGGAAGAGCAACTGGAACTGTGCTAAAAATGGTGGCAAGTCCAGTCTGGAGGCGGGGGTATTCTAGTACATGGATATGCACTAGCGGAAGACAGTTCCCAATTTTAAAATGCAAGCCATATAAATGAAAATTTTGATCATTTGTTCATTTCAGTTTTGAAACAGATAAAAATAAAGAGAATTGCAAAGACACCCTGAATTAGAAAGTTATGGCAAATGGCATTGGGGCCTTTATGTAATAACAGTTAATAGGCACATCTGTACAGCAGAAGAAAATTCAAGGAATTCAAGTACTTATATTACTTGGAGCTGATTATTATTTTCACAGCTATTGGTCATTTAGACAGCTTTTAAAAACTCTGTTTTATTGTGAAATACTTGAGATTGTTCTAGTTTGCTGTAGGAAGAATGACTTCATAAGATAGATTTTAAAAGTGTTCTGGGGAATAGACACAATATTTAAATAACCAATATATACAAGTCTATGTCAGATGAGTAAATAATTCTCAATAAATTGGATATATGCACTGTCTAGAAAATCCTTTAGAATCAAATCATAATTAATGACAGATGTCTATTATAATGCCATATAGATTTTTTTAATGCTAGAACATTTTTTGGCAGAAATCAATGTTGCATTAACTTGAACAGAATTTCATTATCCAATTATGAATCAAAATACAAACAAATCTTACAAACAGGGTTTTGATTACTTAACACAGTAAAACTGTGATTCCAAGTTACAGAGACATTCACGTAACAGTATTCTTTAGTTATTGAATAATGGCTATATACTGATGACAATAAGAATTAACAATACTTTCTACTTATGACATTTATCAATAACAACTTTCGATAATTATTAATTAACATGATGGTCATATTGTAATTACAAATACATTATTATGCTTGTACAATATGTGTGTGTATGTGCATGTATTTCATAGCATTGAACCCAAATTGACTTCTAAAAAGAGAAAATTAGGCATATTACCATGCACTTACATTATCAGAGTGCTTTTATGTATCATTTTCACATCAAATAAATCCTAGAGTTCTTGCCAATTAGAATAAGCAGTCTTTGAGTCTGTTTAACCATGGAAAATGGGTTACTTCTAAAAAAACATTTGTTCTTTTTGCCCAGTGTAGGAGCAGAATGTGTCTCCATCTGCTTATTTCCTAGTAACTTTTAGATCCATGTTTCTAAACTATATTCAGGGAGCTCCCCAAAGAGCAAAAAGGGAAGCTCCCAACTATGGAACCTGTCACTGGCTCTAGCCTCACCAAGGGTGCCCCCTCTCAGCACAGGCCTTCTTCCCAGACATCCTTTCTCACCTTCCTTCATTGTAACTTACCTCTCCTGGATGAACTACTGAGAGCATCACACTCTGCTCTTTCCCAGTGTGCCATGTGTCCCCCCTCACCCTCTTTGGAGGTGGGAAAAGGGGGAAACAGAGAGGGAAATTCACTGCTGAGTGAGACAATGCAAGCAGGCAACACAATGAAAAGAAAAGAATTATTAGAACAAGATGGGTATTTGTTGTAAGAATATTTTAAAGAGTCTTCAGCCTTATACTCATAAGTGCTCTAAAAAAATTCGAGAAGAAGACACAAGGTGATCTAAACAGGAGCTAAAACAATAATAAAAAAAAAAAGGCAATGATGTTCTCGGCTAAAAACTCTAGATTACTTTTGCTTCTGGAAGAATAAAAGTAGCTGTGCATGTTCCTAAGATTACTAATGAAGTGAAAAGGGTCCACAGGTTTTATTCACATGGTTTATATCTTCAGCAAGAACAGAACTGTAATTGAATACAAATTGATAAATTTTCATCAGTTTATCAGATTGCCTTTCAGGAATCTGGTTTGATCAGTTTTCTTTTCCAGCTGTAAGAAAAAAAAAATTACATAAAATAAACACACTTTCTGTATTTTAAAAGAAGAAAAGATAAGATGAAGAGAACCTCAGGAAATAAACATTTAGTCTCCTAAATTAGGCTAACTCATGCACTCTGCTACTGAAAACCCCCCGAAATTTGGTTTGGATTGATTTGGTTTTAATATTTTTCCCCCCAGCTTGAGACATATCAGAGAACTCACATTTCACTTATGATTCTCCATAATGAATGAAACTATAACATAGTATGTTTGGTAGAAATCTGAAAAGGCCACATGTCTTGCTCTAAGTATACCTCATGTCTAAAACACCCACCATTAGAACCATTGGCTTGGACCAAGGTTCTTTCTCTGTATTTCCTGTTAAAAGCCATCTTACTTGGGAAACATGACATAGAAATGCATTTGCACATAGTCTCTTATTAGATGAGCTAGACGTCTGGGGAGGAAATGAGACAGAAAGAAGGGACCCTTTTCTGTGGGACAAGATTGCGAAATTTTAGAGCATGAAGTTTCATTTCTGGGGCCAGGTCAGCTAAGGAGTCAGATGATAACAGGTTCCTGGGACTCCAAAAATGGGTAGAAAAGCTCTCCCTTCCCATTCTATCTCACGGTCCTTTCTGGCTCTGCACATCTTCCCAGCAATCAAATCTAAAACTTCACTGTGGATCCATCTTTACCAGTGCTTTCCTCCTACTGACTTTGACAACCATAAGTGTGCCAAATATTGAATTTAGAAACGATCATCTTGGATGCAGCATCCTCTACCCTTTATCTATTTTTCATCTTTTTACTGCAAATATTCTGCTTTCTCTTTACTCTGCAGTTAACTTTCTTGTCCCCAATTCCCTATAAATAAGGTTTCAGAAGGGGCACGGGAACAACATATCATATCCCTGGGAAAGGGTTAAGTGGCTTCTTGTGAATCACTTTCAAAGAACCCTTCTAGCCAACACCATCTTCCTCTTCCCTTGATTTCTGTATTCTTACTAACCGTTCTGTTATAGTTCATGCTTATAATCACTCCTTTCTTGAAACTTTCCATCCTTGACTTCTGAATATGTTATTATTCTGGTTTTCCTCTTACATTCCTGATTGCTGCTTTTAATGTTACTTACTGATATGTTCCCTCATTCCTTACTGATATGTTCCCTCATATCCCTTGAACTTTGGGCATTCTCCAAGGCAAATCTTTTATTATCTGAGGCCTAGGAAGGATTTCCATTTTCATGGTTTCAGCCTTGATTAACTGAATTTCCAGTTGTTCCCAAACCTAACTGATTATCTGAATAATTTGGGAGAACTTCTTAAGAATAGATTCTCAGGCCTCACTCAAGTAGTACAGAAGCAGAATCTCTGAATCTAAGGCCAAGAAATCTACATTTTTCAGTAAGTGTTCCAGTTAACTCTGATGGAACCAGTTCATAGATGGTCAGTAGAAAACCACTGAAGTGTACATCTTTATTCACTGGACTGTCTGTGTCATTGCAAACTGAACCTTAATTATATCCATAGAAATTTTCATTCCTTATCAGTATCACATTTTATACTCTCACACACAACTTTAAAAAATGTGCTGGACTCTAGATTCTCTTTTATACTGTTAGTGAATAGTTACCCCATGTTATATTCTTCCTTCCAGGATACTTCAGATGCCTCTCCATCCATTCCCACTGACTGACTGTACCTCATCACTTCACTATGCTCCTTCAAGTTCCTCACTGATTCCCATCTCTAGCCTTTCCTCTTGAGAAGTGGCATGGTGTAACTGAAAGAGCTATAGAGTCACACAGACCTGAGTTAAAATCCCAATGTCACTTCTTACTATATGACCTTAGGAAAGTAAACAACATCTCTCAAAGATTCAATTTTCTGAGCTGTAAAGATTAGCTCTAATCTGGAAAGGTTAATATCTGACACACAGGAGATGTTCCCATATAGCTATTGTTATTGCTCTTATTGTCGTTCTATGTGTCATAATCAGACTCATCTTCCTTCACTAGGCAACTCTCTGCTGAAAATCCAAAAGGTATCTTATTGATTCTCAGATAAACCGTAAGTTATCTTCTGTTCTTCATCTCAGTTCTAGTATGTACCTCCTATATGATAGGGGGCAAGTTACTTTATCTGTGCCTCTATTTCGTCATCCATAAAGTATGTATAACAACAGTGTTTACTTCCCTGGGTTACTGTGAGGATTAAATGTATTAATCCGTATCAAGCGCTTAGAATAGTGCCTGACCTAGTGCATTCCAGTAAGCTGTCAGTTATTATTAGCTAGAGTAGTAGAAATGATAGTAATAGTCATCGTAGCTCTATCCTAACCACTACCCTTACATTCTGGTCTTCCACTGACTGATCACCCTGTCTTTTCACTGTAAAGGCCATTCTCCTTCTTGTTTTTGCTTATCTGCGTTCTCCTCTGCTACCTCAGGGCCTGGCACCTAGCATGCATAAATGTACATTTACTGAACTAAGTATTATAATTCCCTCTCCTTGCCCAAGTCAGCACCAGCCTTGCTCTAAGTTCAGAAGACCCCTTTATCCCATTTTCTTACATTTGCCTCTTATAGGTATTTTTTCACAACAAAGCCATAGCTTAAAGCCAGAAAGTGCCTTCTGCTTTCTTCCCCTCCCCCACAAGTGCTGTCCAATACTAGGCACAGAGCACGTATGCTTTCTCCATTAGCACAAGTGTCAGAGCACTGGGCCAGCAGCTTGTGCTTTGATCACTGGACCACTCACTGTACCTTTTATACATTTTATATATACATTTTAACATTTAAATTATGTAACAAATATGGCATCATTATAATTTTTGAGAGGAAAAAGTCTAGGTCTATTTATTATGCTTTGATGACTTCTATTGTTAATAGTAATAAAACTTATATTCCTTGTTCATTTGGCTCTTAGCAACCCTGCACATAGATATCATTATTATTCCGTTTTACCAACTGATACTAAGGCTCAGGGTCATCCAGCTAGTAAAGCAGCTGAGCCGGAATTTGAACTCAGTCCTATTATATATTCCAAAGCTCTGGGCAATTGGTTAGCAAGATGCCTTAATTCAACCAGTAGTTTTAGTGCTACATGGATAGAGTATCTCTGTTTGAAGACAATATTCGATTACACATAATACTGGTTTAGAAAAATCTGTCTAGTGTAGTGAAAATTACACAGGCTTAAAATCAAAACTGGTTCATATCTATTAGAGTGAACCATATGAAACTGCTGTGTGTGTAAGTAAAAAATCAGTGACTTTCAGCAATTTCATTTGGCTCATACTTGAATAGTGAGCAATTTGCAATTATTTAAAACTCTTTGGCTTCGATTTTTTTCAACTACAAAATAATGAAGTTGGACTTCGTGTTTTTCAGTTCTAGAGTTCTAAGAGAAATAAAAGTTACAATAGGCTATGGATTGTGGAATTCATATGAATTCCCCAGTTTCACCAGGAAATGGTTTTATGTTTTCAGGACTCACTCTAATGAGAAATATACTGGTCTTTAAATATTCTGTGAATTTCTGGGGTGGGGAAACCTGTTAATTATTTTTTAAAATCTGAATAATAAATAAATAAAGGCAACTTTGTTGTCCTCAACACAGAATCCCAAAAGTAATCAAAGGTTCTCTGTCCTACAGTTGAAAGACATCACTATACTTGTACCTTCTTGTGGTTTCTGCAAGGCAGCCAAGAGCAGAGCTATTGCCTCTGGAAGAGTCAGAAGTAGTCGGGGATTTGGGCTTCGTCTTTCTGGTGAAACAAAAATGCATGCAGATTCTATTAGTGTTTAAATATTCATATAGATACATTCTATTTTAGTATTCTATAATACCTGAAAACCCTCCATGAAATAGATTTTTGATTCCACAGCGAAGGGCCCCTACAGAGAAAACCAATTTTTATAAATTGAAACATTTCACACTTCCTATGGATATTAACTACAACTGGTTGTGTGTTAGCGGGTATGGAAGAGAATTTAAACTATATATTACACAGAATTTTATGACAGCAAGGAAGATTAAGATAAAGAGCTTATGAGAAATTT